TTTATATCTAATTACAGGGTTCTTTTTCAGTGACAAAATTTCAAAACTTTTCATGATCTAAAGTGAATTTTCAATGACTTTACGACACCTACATGTGTAGAATTGATCAGACTTTTAGGGCTAAATATGAAATGTGAACTCATCTTATGGTTTGGGATTATAGTTTAACATTCAAAATCCTGTCAGTGCATTTACTGTCGTCTCTTTTAAACAAAAGGCGCAGACGTTCAGAAATAATCAGAATATCCTAATGAAAAATAAACGGAACGCTGGAGTTGTGTGAAAGAGATACTAAAATTTCCACGACTTTTCCAGGATTTCCATGACCGTGGGAATCCTGTAATGATGAAGCGTTTTATTGTCTGATAATCAGGTTAGCGTTCTAGTTGTTGTTAAAGGGTCCATATCGCTCTATTTTCTGATCTCTGATATAACACATAGTTGTGTTTCGTTTCAGCAGAAAACACTCTGTTCCACTTTGTGATGTCATGTTGTAATCAGTGTTGGGAAGTAAGTGAATACATGTACCAACAATATGTATTCTAAATACTAATTTTGAGTAAGTGTATGCAGGTGCAGTTATTTTAGTAAAATCAAAAGAATATACAGTGGTACTTTACATAATTTTGGGTCCAAAATGCAGATAATTAAAAAAGAAAAACACAGTCTGTGGTGAGCTTCATGTGTGATTTTTCCATCCCCAATTAGTCATGATAATAATAATAACAATAATGATACTAATAATGATAATAATAATAGTACTACTAGTACTAACTACTATAACTAACTACTACTAATGACTACAACCACCACCTCCTACTACTGCTACCACCACTACTACTTACTACTACTACTTCCACTGCTACTGCTACTACTACTACTTCTACCTACTACTACCTACTTCTACCACTACATACTACTACTAACTACTACTACTACCTACTAATACGAACTACTACTACCGCCTACTACCTACTACTACTACTACTACTACTACTACTACTACTACTACTACCTACTACTACTACTACTACTACTACTACTACTACTACTACTACTACTACTACTACTACTACTACTACTACTAACTACTACTACTACTACTACTACTACTACTACTACTACTACTACTACTACTACTACTACTACTACTACTACTACTACTACTACTACTACTACTACTACTACTACTACTACTACTACTACTACTACTACTACTACTACTACCTACTAACTACTACTACTACTAACTACTACTACTACTACTACTACTACTACTACTACTACTACTACTACTACTACTACTACTACTACTACTACTACCTACTACTACTACTACTACTACTACTACTACTACTACTACTACTACTACTACTACTACTACTACTACTACTACTACTACTACTACTACTACTACTACTACTACTACTACTACTACTACTACTACTACTACTACTACTACTACTACTACTACTACTACTACTACTACTACTACTACTACTACTACTAACTACTACTACTACTACTACTACTAATAATAATAATAATAATAATAATAATACCATGAATCTTATACACCTCTTTTCAGGACGTTTTACAGTTTGGAGCATTATCCGTCACTTCACACTAGGTGGTGTTAAACTCCTACTGTAGCCACAGCTGCCCTGGAACAGACTGATGGAAGCGAGGCTGCCAATCTGCACCGTCGCCTCCTCTGACCGCCCCCAACACACTCACACACTCTCACACACACGCACACGCACACACACACACACACACGTTCATCAGGCCGTGTGGGTGAGGATTAATTACTGGCAGGAAATGCATTGCAAAACAAAACTGTGTAACAAATCTAAAGCTTGTTCTGGTTCCTGTATCATTTTAAATCTATAATTCAAATGCAAATCTGCGTGAAAGTATTTTTTTTAAGCATTCAGGAACTATATTCTGACTGCAACATGCGTCAGAATATGTTCCAAAACACATCTCTATTAAACAAAAGTAAACGTAAAAAGGTCGATGTTCACTTGAAAAGTATTCCACTAAATGACATCAAAACGTGGAACAGAGCATTTTGAGCATTGGAGATGTAGACACACTTATAATAAAGTGTTACTCAAACATGTGTGAATGAAACAAAACACAACTCGGGTCTGTTTTTAAATGAGTTAAGAATATTATAACATGACTTAAAGCTCACAGGAATTAATTTTACATAATATAGGACATTTTGGGGTTTTTTTAAACAGTAAAAGTAAAAATTCAAAAACAGAATCTCTCTACAATCAAAACGGAAAAAAATCCACCTAAATTTAGAGACAATTTAAGCACAAAGAAGCCATTTTTCTGACAGTTTTAACATTGATTTAATGAGTTGTTGTTGTTTGCTGTTGTTGTTTGTTTGTTGTTGTTTTTTGTTGTTGTTGGTCGTTGTTGTTGGTTGTTTGTTTTCGTTGTTGTTTTTTATTGTTTGTTGTTGTTTTTTGTTGTTATTTGTGTGTTGTTTGCGTGTTGTTGTTGTTTGTTATTGTTTTTTGTTGTTGTTGGTTGTTGTTTTGGTGTTTGTGTTGGTTGTTGTTTGTTGTTTGTTTTTTGCTGTTGTTGTTTATTGTTGTTTGTGTGTTGTTGTTTGTTGTTGGTTATTTTGGTTGTTTGTTTTGGTTGTTATTTGTTCTTGTTGTTGTTTTTTGTTTGTTGTTTTTGTTTGTTGTTGTTTGTTGCTGTTGTTGTTTGTTGTTGTTTGATTGTTGTTTATTGTTGTTGTTATTTGTTGTTTGTTTTTGTTTGTTTGTTGTTGTTATTTGTTGTTTTCTGTTGTTGTTTGTTTGTCTGTTGTTTGCTTTTGTTGTTGTTTGCTGTTGTTTTTGTTGTTTGTTGTTGTTTCCATCTTTTTTTGTTTGTTTGTTTGTTTGTTTTGGCCCTTGTTTACATGACGGTTGCCAGGTAACAGCCATGGGATTACATCTGCACACACATCCAAATAAAAGAATAAATTTAAAACAAAAATTACAAAACTAGAAAAGAGTAAACAAGATTCTTTTAAGTAAAATCTGGAGTGTAGTGTGTAGTGTAGCCAGCTCTGCACTTTGTACTACAAGGCCTTGCCCTTCTGAACACGGTATTAAGTAACCGATGAAATAAAATTCTAATTAATTTCAAAGAAGGATAACACAGTCACACGGACGGCCATTGTCTCTTGTCTGTTTTCAGAATCCAGAAATAGTAGCCAACAATTAGGGATGTTACACAAGCTTTTGTTTACGCTGCCAAATATCTAAGCTATTAAACCATTGCATAATAAGGTCAGGCTTCGGAAACAAGCGATTACAAAATGGAATATTTAAAAAGACGCACTGTAAATTTCTGTGTGGGAGGTCCGTCACCTGCTTGTTTCTATGGATACGTCAATGCTCTGCCTGGAATGTTCCACAGTATCTACTTTACATTTATTCAATTACAGGTGGTTTTACGGCTCAAAAATACCTCGAAAAACTGGCATTCTGACTGTGAGCGGGGTCGCCTCTCCACAGACCTTACCCGTAACTAGGTCTTAGTTTGGTAGAGAAAAGCCTTTGACGACGGAGCCTCCTCCAGAAAAGTTACACAATGTACCTTTAATAGCAGCTTTAGAACATAAAAACACTGGAATAAACATTTTACTTTGAATTGTTTCGAAAGAGTAAACTAATAGACCTGGATTACTGTGCTCCTCAATTACGTAGTGCTAGAAGTAGCAGTCATAGCAGTAATACTACAAGCTGCAGTAATGGTACAAGGTGCAGTAATACTACAAGCTGCAGTAATAGTAATACTGCAGTAATACTACAAGCTGCAGTAACAGTACAAGCTGCAGGAACAGTACAAGCTGCAGGAACAGTACAAGTTGCAGTAATACTACAAGCTGCAGTAATAGTACAAGTTGCAATAATACTACAAGTTGCAGTAATAGTACAAGTTGCAGTAATACTACAAGCTGCAGTAATAGTACAAGTTGCAGTAATACTACAAGTTGCAGTAAAAGTACAAGCTGCAGTAATACTACAAGCTGCAGTAATACTACAAGTTGCAGTAATACTACAAGTTGCAGTAAAAGTACAAGCTGCAGTAATACTACAAGTTGCAGTAAAAGTACAAGCTGCAGTAATAGTACAAGCTGCAGTAATAGTACAAGCTGCAATAATACTACAAGCTGCAGTAATAGTACAAGTTGCAGTAATACTACAAGTTGCAGTAAAAGTACAAGCTGCAGTAATAGTACAAGCTGCAGTAATAGTACAAGCTGCAGTAATACTACAAGCTGCAGTAATACTACAAGTTGCAGTAAAAGTACAAGCTGCAGTAATACTACAAGTTGCAGTAAAAGTACAAGCTGCAGTAATACTACAAGCTGCAGTAATACTACAAGCTGCAGTAATACTACAAGTTGCAGTAAAAGTACAAGCTGCAGTAATACTACAAGTTGCAGTAATACTACAAGCTGCAGTAATACTACAAGTTGCAGTAAAAGTACAAGCTGCAGTAATACTACAAGTTGCAGTAAAAGTACAAGCTGCAGTAATACTACAAGTTGCAGTAAAAGTACAAGCTGCAGTAATAGTAATACTGCAGTAATACTACAAGCTGCATTACATTACATCAATGATTAATCAAAAATCGATCGTTAATTCCCCCAACAATTGATTAAGAAAATTTTATGGAAAGCCCGTCTCTAAAAATAACGTAGTGAGGTTCCATTTCACCATTTTGGCTTCTATTTTTACTCATCGTATGTAAGACTTTAATGGTCGTTGTAAACTTTGTAAGCTTTTTTGAACTACATCTTCTTTTTCTGTCCAAGCCAAAGGTACTGTTAATCGAAAAACAAATAAATACATCTATAAATCTACAAGAACCATTCCTGATTCCAGTCTTACCCGCCCGGTCCGGCTCTGACTCTGCCCAAACACTGAGCCAAAGGACCTACATCAGCTCAGTTTTTCCTGTAGTTTAAAAGGATATCTTTCTTGGCCGTGTCCTCCACTCCCATCAGGTCGTCCTTGTCCGCCACCTCTTCGTACTGAAAAGAAAAGACGAACATTTAAGAGTTTCCGATTAAAATCAAAGTTCAACGACCCAAAAATGTACAAATCTTGGCCCTGGTTTATAAAATCTCTTTAATTACTGAGTCTAACCATGTGAAACGAAACTGTCACTTTCTTTTCATACTGATTTATTTAAGCAGCAACACTAAGTTTAAGTTTAAAGATGCATTGTGTAACTTTTCTGGTGAAGGGTCCGTCGTTAAATGTTATTTTCACAGCCAGAATGCTTGTTTTTCAGTTTTTCATGATATTTTTGAGCTATAAAATCATCTATAATTGAATAAATGTAAAGTAGAACAGTTTAATAATGTCATACTGTGGTGGCAGGTGACAGACAAGAAAAGTTACACAATGCGCCTTTAAAGAATTTCTTTCAGAGGAGGGCGCCGCATTTTAGTGGCGCGGGGAGAACGTGCAAACCCTCCGTAAATAGCCACAAGCTCAATGTGCGCCGCCCTCCCGTTTCTGTCCGCACAAAGCTTCTGTAATTAAACGAGTTAATGACAAAAACCTAAACACCGTCTAGCTTTTCACTTAATTAAAATCAAAAGCGTGATTCATACTTAAAGGATTAAGCACATGTACTAACTATTTACAACTGTAAATTCTAGTGTTGTAGACCGGTCTTGGTCTCGTGACCAGCCTCAAGACCGCTTTTTTATGGTCTTGGTCTCGTCTCGGACTTGAGCACATTTGGTCTCGGTCTTGTCTTGGTTTCAGCGGTTTCAGCCTTTAAAAGTCTTGGTCTTGTCTTGGTCTTGTCCTGGTCTTGGGACCCTGTGGTCTTGGACAGGTCTTGGTCTCGATTAGTGCAGTCTCAACTACAACACGAGTAAACTCACCTAAATATTCATCATCATCATCATCATCAAGTTTATTTGTACAGCACAATTCGTACACAAAGTAATTCAAAGTGCTTTACAGAATAAGAAATACATTAAAATCATAATAAAAACAAATCAAAACATAAATAATCATGAAGATTAAAATTAAAAAAGAGAGACATAAATTGGAGAGAAGAGTGCGGAATGAAAACCTTTCAGTTATTTGCACAGTTAAACAGAAATGTTTTGAGTCTGGATTTAAACAGCGTCACAGAAGAGTCTGTCTCACATGTTCAGACTGTTCCAGGTTTTAGCTGCATGAACCTGAAACTCTGACTCCCCTTGTTTAGTCGTGACTCTGGGCACCAGCAGGAGTTGGTCCCTGAGCTCCTCAGAGTGTGAGATGTTCATATGACACTAACATGTCACAGATGGACTTTGGTGCTCGGCCATGGAGAGACAATTGTACAAGCAGAGCTGCTTTAAAGTCTCTGAGCCACAGGAGCCAGTGCAGAGACCTGAGCACAGGACTTATGTGCTCGTACTTTCCTAGTTCGAGTCAGGACCCGAGCTGCAGCGTTCTGGATGTTCTGGATGTTCTGCTGCAGCGTCTCACAGCTCGTTTGGAGAGACCAGTGAGCAGAACATTACAGTATCTAACCTACTGGAGACAAACGCATGGATAAGTTTCTCCAAGTCTGATTTAGACAGTAAACCTTTGATTTTTGCTCTGTTTTTTAGATGGTAAAAGGCTGCAGATGTTATTGATTTGATGTGGCTGTTAAAGTTCAAGTCTGAGTCCATTATTACCCCTAGATTTCTTGCCTGATTTGAAGGTTTTAGAGAGAGAGACTGGAGGTGATGCTGACACTGTCCCTTTGTTTCTGTGGACCAAACACTATGACTTCAGTCTTGTCAGAGTTTAGCTGGAGAAAGTTGTTTTGCCTCCACACACTGATCTGTTGGACGCAGTGGCAGAGTGACTCCACTGGTCCATAGTCTCCTGCTGCCACAGAGACGTAGATCTGAGTGTCATCTGCATAATTGTGGTAGGACACATTACTGCTGCTTATTAACTGGCCTAATGGCAGCAAACAACAATGTCGTCAAATGAGGACATGACATTTCCTGACGCTCTAGTCTGATGTGATGACTAAAATGTGTCACGTTTAAATGCCAAATGAAGACAGAGACATTATTGTACATAAATACATTGGTTTCATTCATAAAATTTGGATATAAACTTTATCTTGCATTTTTTTTCTTTTGGAAGCTGCTTGTTGATATTCCCGCCATTTTTCTTTGACTGAAATTGGTGTAATGTTGTGATTAGGGGTGTGTAGAAATATAAAAATATCGATATATCGTATCATTTAATGTGATGATACAGTATTGATATTGTGGGCTGCTGTATCGATATATCGCCAAGAGTATTTTTTGGTATATTTGACTAAATTATTTTGTTACAGTGCTACAGTTTTGTCGCTCGTTTAGAGGAATGAAACATGTTTATGCGACACATTTGACATTTTCACTGTTTTGAGGATTAAAATGTTTGTGTTTCATATGAACTTTGCACAAGAAGTGGTTTAACAAAGACTTTTAGTAGTCACGGCCATAATTTAGCCTTTATTTTTTTATTAGGGATGTAACAATATCCAAATTTCATGGTACGATATTTTCACGATATACATCTCAAGGTACGATATTTACTGCAATATTTTGTGGAGGCGAACAAAATAGTGAATATGCTACTTTTTTGTTTTAAAAAGCCTTGACAAAATTTCAAAGTGCTTAGAACTGTTATTTCTTCATGTAGTTTGCACCAAAACGGAGCAAAGGATCATGGTCTATGTAGTTCCCTCTGTTTTTTTTAGTTATTGCTGCACAATAACTGTTAATTTAAGTGAAGAGACTTGTAATTCGATATATTGTGATGGTCCAGATATTATTATGAGACTTTTGACGATATAAGGATATTTTGATTATTGTTACATCCCTATTTTTTAATTGAACCACATAAAAACGATTTGAAATATATTGTACTGAATCGAAAGTGCACTGTATCGAGATATGTATCGTATCGTGTTCTATGTATCGTATCGGCAACTTCTTAATGATACTCAGCCCTAGTTGTGATATTACCAGAATATGGAGCGGCTAACAGGTCACAAAGTTCAAAAAAATGTCGTATCATGGTGCTAAGAGACAAAAATGTAAATGTCCTCATATGAGGTTTTAACATTCAAAATCCTGTCAGTGCATTTATTGGTCTTAGATCTTATATTGTATTTTGTCATTTTGGCTCGTGCAAATCTGATCAAACTGTAAAGTGTTGCAAATGCACCCCAGTTCTTTCCATTCTTGCTGCTTATTTTGAATTTATTATCACCACTTTTATAAGTTTTTATGATAATCTATGTTGTAATGTGTGAACTCTTGTGTCCAAATAATTTCCTTGTGAATCATTCCAGATTAAGTGTAAATGCCTCGACCTTAGGCCTTGTTTTATGACGCTTTGTCACAGTCGCATTCTTGTCCGCTGGGCACGTTACGGTGTTGCCCGCGTGAGTCACAATGCATCACGGCGCAGCTCTGCATGTCCCTTATAATTACAGCGATACAAATTGAAAACGCTCTTTTGTCTCGCTTCTTAGTACATGGGCGTGTGGTGTCTCTGTGTAATAACTACACCTTTTTAATTGAAATAATAGGACATAAACAGAAAAGGGTGTAATTCTGGCGTGGTCAGGTGGATTCAACAGTCGGTGTGTTTTTTTTTTGTGCCCGGTAAACAATGGGTGCAGTACTAGCCTTGGCCATTAGGGGGTACTGGGCTCCTGTTGGCTCATCTCACGGTGCCAAGGGATTGTGCAACAGTAGGAAAATATGTTGTTGACGTTAAGAGTATCATTAAAACGGTGAGTAATTAGCTCGATTGCGCATTCTGAAGTTTTTACATAGCTGAGTTTGGTAACATTTATCGCTGTGTCATTGTGGTGTGTATTTTGGGTTTCCTCGCATTTGCGATTTGGTTTAACAAGCTGATAAAGGCATAGCAGATAACAAAATAACACACTGGCTTTGATCATTGTGGTGACTGATTTTAAGATATCAGTATGTTGTTACATAATCAACGTAAACTACCTGTCAAAAGTTTTAGAACACCCTCATTTTTCCAGTTACAGTGGTCTCTCGTTTATCGCGGGGGTTACGTTTTAAAAATAACCCGCGATAGTAGTCAACTTTATATTTTACAATTATTATATCTGTTTTAAGTCTGTAAAACCCCTCAGCACAAACTTTATACACTTTTCTCACACAGGACAACACTTTTAACATCCTTCTTAAAACTTGCTGCTGTCGTCCTTTTGTTATTTTCGAACCGAAGATTCAATTTTTTACGTAATGGAGCCCCAAGATTTTATCAAACATTTGCGCCACAGACTGAACTGAGACTAAACCAGGACTAACTTAGGACTGATTCCAGGACTGAAGAGGAGGACTAAACCAGGACTGAACCAGGACTAAACCAAGACTAAACCAGGACTAACCCAGGATTGATTCCATGACTGAAGAAGAGGACGAAAGCAGGACTAAACCAGGACTAAACCAGGACTAAACCAGGACTAACTTAGGACTGATTCCAGGACTGAAGAGGAGGACTAAACCAGGACTAAACCAGGACTAAACCAGACTAAGCCAGGACTAAACCAGGCCTAAACCAGGCCTAAACCAGGCCTAAACCAGGACTAAACCAGGACTAAGCCAGGACTAAGCCAGGACTAAGCCAGGCCTAAACCAGGCCTAAACCAGGACTAAACCAGGACTAAACCAGGACTAAACCAGGACTAAGCCAGGCCTAAACCAGGACTAAACCAGGACTAAACCAGGACTAAACCAGGACTAAACCAGGACTGAACCAGAACTGAACCAGAACTGAACCAGGACTCACGATCGGGACGGGCTCGGAGGTGACCGCAGGAGAAAGGACTGACAGAGAGCTCCGCACCTCACGGAGGTAAGCGCGGCCGTCGCCTGATCGCGCTGCAGCGATCGTAAATTTACGTATGTTTGTCAAGCTGAACACATTCAATCCTGTACAGGAGACACGGCACGGAGGCGACTGATTGACAACGGTCTACAGCCAATCAGGACGCAGGGGGAGGAACACAACGCACGTTCATACACTGTAAGAAAAAAAAAACTTGCAAAATTCCACTAAAAAAATTCACGAAACAGCGAAACCGTGAAAGGAGAACCGTGGTATAGCGATACTGCAATTCAAGTCATCCAAGTCCAACGAAGAGCTTGAAATGGTACAAAAGTAAGAACTGAACAGACAGAAGTTAAAAAAAAAAAAAGATAAAAGATACAAAACCCAAGTCCAAGCTCTGCCAAAACTACCAGAGGAAAAAAGAACAAGATGGTGAAGCTTGAAAACCTGGAGTGTCCAGCACAAGGGTGTTTTTTTGGGGCCCTGAGACCAAACGGGGCTGAGCTGAGGTTTGTCCCTATCAACTTGTGATGGCCCAATATAAGATAACAGGAAATAATAGTGAAAAAAAAGTAGCAAAAAACATCCTGAGAAGTGGACCTGGCTCCTGGCCTAGTAGTTGTACAAAACAATTCATGGACAAAAATGGCCTAGTGTTACACTAATGAGCTGTAATAAGTGTGTGTAATGAGTGTATTATTAGAAAACTGTTTGTAAATGTTTACCTAATAGCAGACTAAGCTTATGGAGAATTAGTCATTAATAAGGGCTGAATAAATACTAATTAATGACAAATTAATCTACATTAATCTACAACTATGCTGATTAGTAGGTATTTAGATGTTAATAAGTTTACCCTAAAATAAAGTGTTACTGAAATATCAAATTGCCCAAAAGTTTGAACTACCTGTAAAAGTTTCTGTGAGTCTGTATGTGGTGTAAAACTCTGGATCAGCCTGGATATATAGCTCAAGCAAAGCCAAAATATCCTTAAATTCAAGTTGTTTATATAAACATATGTTGTGGTCACAGTTTATAGAGAGTGGGTCTTAATATTTGAAGAATCCTGCCTCTGTAGCGCTGGTTTATGTTTGTTCTGTGACAGTAGTGACAATAAAAGGCATTCTGTTCTATTCTAAAACACCAAAATGCAACTAATTTACAAGAATAAAGTTAGATATTGCAGCTTTAATGTCTTAAAACTGCATTTAATAGATGGAAAATGGAAAACATTTGGAGTTATCCTATTGAAAAAAGCGTCGGGTCTCCCTCGTCTTCTCGTTCACTCACCTGTACTTTGAGGAGTCTGCTACTGTACGACTTGAAGTAGCTGAAGTAGATTTTACTCATGGTGTCCACGTATTCGTCTCTGATCTCTTTCGCCACTGTCCTCTCGTTGGCCAAAAGAAACTGGTAGAAAAACCTGCGGGAAAACCAAGTGTTTGCATCAAAACTGTCCCAAAACGTGTTCAAATAACGTAGACAAAATCTCACCTGTATTTGAGTAATGTGTTCTGGGGGATCTGGTAGTTGGTCATAGGTTTCCTGAAGGCGTAAATCTTCTGCAGAATAAACTCTCTGATCTTTGAGACAGCCTGGAGACGACGGACAAGGGGAAAAACAGAGACAGTGTTAGAAATCACTCTCTACGTTTAGGCAAGGCAAGTTTATTCGTATATGTTGCGGTTGTGGAATAGGTTGGTTAATATGCCAGACACAAGATTAACCAAGCATGTATTTAATTGGAGTCTGTTACATAAATCGTCCTGGAGTAGAGAGACTGAGAAATTTTTTGAGAATGCAGATCTCCGGTTTATTTATTTATTTGAAAAGGGACAATGCACATTAATCAACATCAAAACAATGTTAATGTGTCAGAGTTCGCTGATAAGAGCAAATTTGCATCGGTAGTCCCTTTGCCAGATGTCACAAAGGCATCCTAAAAGAAAATACACTTAAAAATTACACATCAAAAATTACACAAATGTACAATTGCAAAAGATTGCAAAAATACAATAAAAGTTTTAGTTTTAGAGTTCACACATTCTTTTTAAAAGCAGAGAATGAGGGAGATGTTCTGTTGGCTTCAGGCACAGAGTTCCGCTCTGACGGAGAAAACACACTGACCAAATCCAGTTTTTCTGAGGAATAATGCTCCTCTGGTCACTCTGCCCTCACTAGATCTGAAATGAACAAAGTCGTTCAGCGAAGGGGGAGCCGAGCCATGTTTAATCTTGGACGTTAGACAGATATTTTTAAATTTAATAAGCTTGTCCCAGGTCATTAATTTGTATTTCTGCAACATGTGACAATGGTGGTGTCTCTAGTGTTTTTTGTCGAGTGTTTTTAGAGCTTGTTTATAGAGTGATTCAACGGGTTTTATTGTTGTGAGTGATGTAGAGAAATAAGTTCATCTGTAGTGTCAGACAAACGAGGAGCATTTACTTTGATAAGCATAAACAAAAGTGGCACAAAGAAATTTTATGTAAACCAAAATTACGAACGTGTATCTTAATTAAAGACTGACTTGGACCTGAGCCGTGTGTCACCCTGAACCTGAGCAGAGGTCAGAGGTCAGGATGTGCCCAGCTGAGGTGTGGGACTCTGCCTCTGGCCTTGGAGACGGGACGCTTCCACTCGGTCCCAGAGGAGGAGCGCATGTGTCTGTGCGACTTAAAGGACATTGAAAATGAAATGCATTTTCTGTTTTACTGTCCTTTGTATCGTGCTGCGCTGTCAGTTGTGTCTAATGTGTCTTACTGTTGGTTTTCTGTGTCTGATGAGGAGAGAGTGAAGTATTTGTTTAAATGTAATGTTTTCAAGTTGGCTCAGGTTGTGTTGAAAGCCTAGGACCTCCGTAAAAGGACACAATTTATGTTTGATGTGTGATCTGTCTGCTTATTGTTTTATTTGTCTTATAAACCCATGCAGGCTGGGCACCAATTAAATGGTGCATGACACTAAATAAGTACAATAAACTAAACTAAACTAAACTGTACAGCACAATTCGTACACAAAGCATTTCAAAGTGCTTTACAGAATAAGAAAAACATTAAAATCACAATAAAAACAACTCAAAACATAAATAATCATCATAAAATTAAAAATTTACATACACAGAGAACCAGGAGTGCACTAAACAACCTAAATCAAATTGTCTTTACCCCAAGATCTCTCCCAATCCCAATCTAACAAAGGCAAAAAACTGCGTAGATGTAAACGAAGGCTACGATGCATTCAGGTGCCTGTAAGTAATTTAAATTTAAAGTTTTCCAGCAAAAATCACTAATAAAAAACTCCCGTACATACATATAACCACACTTTTGGTAGAAACAGATGAGCAACATCTCATTTACGTGGATAATTTAATTTTCACACATGCTTGAAACTGATCTGCTCTCAACTTATTTAGGCCCATATTACTCTATTTTCTGATCTGCTATAATTTTGTTTTCTCATCAAAAACATACGTGGAGTTGTGTTTTGTTTAAAGGTTCCTTAAGCACTTTTAGGAACCAAAGGCTTGTCAAGTCTTTTTTTATGGCTGCAACTTTTATTTTATTTTCGTAACGATTAATCTAACATCTATTTTCTATTAATCTGTTATTAAATTATAACTTCTTAAGACTTTATAGAGCAATTTGTTCAAATAATGTTCTATAAAGATTATTGTATTTATTAGTGAGACTAATAAAAAGTAGTTTGTTTAATAGGAACACTGCTGATTATGTGATTGTGTCATGCGAGACAATTATAGGGTTCAAGACGAGGACATAAAATGCTGCTTGAGGCTCTAATCTACAGGCGGTAACTAGGGACGGGCATTCGAAAATTAAATTTTCTTAATCGATCCTCGGGAGAATTAATGATCAATAATCAATTAATCATTAACGTTTTTATATTAAAATGATCATCATTATTATTACTATCTGCACTAATCTGCAGAAATAGATTCAACTTTACGACATAAAAAAACGTAACCACTCTAGAGCCACATCAGCCCGTTTGACATTATAATGTGTTGAATGCAGATTTGTGCAGGTCTCACAGAAACGAAACTTAAAACCGCATGGCTAATTTGCATAAACTAAGAGAAGAAAATAAACAGCTCTTGTACGTTGATGCGGCACGACTCAGGTGAATACAGGTCAGTGTGACCATATTTGCGTTTGTCAAAACCAGGACAGCGTACGGGGGAGGGGGTGGGGACTCGTCATCGACATTGAGCGACTCTCACCTGGAAAAACTTTTTCCCACTGGACACAGAAACATATGTGCTGCTTTGTACACTGTAAACATGGACTCACACTTGTCCCGACCGGAACGGAAAACGTGGAATTTCTTGTACAAATCATCGTTAAATGCGCATTTGTGCTTCGTCATGTTGCAGACTGACCCACTGTTTGTGTCTCGCTCCTTCTGATGCAGAGACACATGTACACACCTGTTTGTCCCGGACACGGACGTTTGGTCACCCTACGCTACGCACAGCAACGAAATGAAATTCTTAATGATCAATTATCGATTAATCGATTAATCATGCCCATCCCTAGACAGAACCAAAGGCTTGTTAAGTCTTTTTATGGCTGCAACTAATGATTATTTTCTTAACAATTAATCAACGATAAAACAATAACTTTATCAACAATCAGTTAATTAAATTATAACTTTTCATGACATGCAATTTGTTCAAAACTTTCCATAAAGATTGTTTGTATGTATTAGTTAGACAAATAACAAAGTGTCTTTTGTTTAATAGGAACACTGCTGATTATGTTATTGTGTCACGTGAGACAATTATAGGGTTCAAGACGAGGACATAAAATGCTGCTTGAGGCTCTAATCTGCAGGCGGTAACGCAGAACTACAGTTATGATCAGCCCCAAACAGTCAGACTGATGCGTGTTTAAAGATTAGTTGACAGCGTGTTCCGCGTTAAGGTCAATGTGTAGTATAGTATAGTACAGTCCACGTTGAGTTGAGCTTGTACAGTCCATGGTGCGCCAGTACAGTCCACACTGCGTACGTACAGTCTGCCGTACTACACACCTGTACTCTTTTGATGGTCTATTGTATTATTTCCCAAAGACTGTGTCGCGACCTTCAGGTGGGTCGCAAGAGATTTTTTTTTGGGTCGTCTTATCACGATCTGCATGTAAGTCAAAATGTTAAGACGTGTTTTGTATAATTTCTAATCTTTTTAAATTATTTTATTGACTATTTTGTTCCAATGTTGCTAGTTCAGTTGAATATTGAAAAGAAAAAGAAACGGGCAACATTTAATGTCCAAACAGGCGACTTATGGATCCTTTTACTGCTGCTTCAATGACTGTTTTTCATTGTTTAAAACTTGAGTAAAACTAATTAGTCAGAGACACAATCACTCAGTCAGCAATAAAATATCCTCATTAATCTTCAATAATGGTCAAATCCATCTTTTTTGTAATTTATGAATAACGTTTATTGACTTTGGTCGCAAAGGTTTGGGACTTTTAAAATATGAGTCCCCAGAAAAAAAGTTTGGGAAACACTGGTCTATTGTGTGTTTCTTGCACGTGCACTGCTGTTCTTTACGTGGAAATACAGCGCGGATGTTCAGAGTGTGCTCGTTCCTATTATATCTGACACATTAATTAGAGACTCTAAAGACAACCCATCGACTCAATGGCGTCAATTACATCAACGAATCTTTGCAGCGGCACGGTTTTATCACAAGACAAGCTTCACGGGGCCATTTTTACACTTCCATTGTTCAGGACTATTACCCTGAAAACAACTGTTCTGTACAGAGCGATAATACGGAAGCCGAGAAGGGTCACAACAAACGCAAATGCCGCAACAAATGCAAATGCGACAACACAACAAAAAGTCACAACACAGCAAAAAAAGCCACAACAAACCAAAAAAAGCCACAACGGAAATGACCGCGGGACTCTATTTCAATGCAAACGTCGCAACAAATACAAACGCCACAACACAAACACAAATGCCGCAACACATTAAAAAGCCACAACACATTAAAAAGTCACAGAGGAAGTGACCGCGGGACTCTATTTTCCGATGGACCGATCAAGCAGCAAGTGAAGAAGAAGAACTACAACGTGAAAAGTAAAGGAACGGAGAAGTTGGAAACGTAAATAAAAGTAATTTATTGTTTTATCATTATGCGTTTGTGTTGTGGCGTTTGTATTTGTTGCAGCGTTTGCATTAAAATAGAGTCCCGCTGTCATTTCCGTTGTGGATTTTTTTTGGTGTGTTGTGACTTTTTGTTGTGTTGTTGCAGCGTTTGCGTTTGTTTTGACCCCTCTCGGCTTCCGTACGATAGAGCTCTGGAACACGCTCCCCCAAACCTCAACTGTTCACAAGCATGAACCAAGTTTTTAAAAAATGTTAAGGGAATATATTGGAAATTGTACCTAATTACATTTAGTCACTAGTTATGCACTGTAATTTACTGGATATACTATAATTATACTTTAATTATACTATAATTGTAGTAGTAGTAGTAGTGTAGTGTAGTATACTATGGAACAGGACTGTATGAACTTGTGTGAACTCTTTTTTGTTATTATAATGGAATGTTTTATTGTAAATTATGCCAACTTGGATCCCAGGATGAATAGTCTTTACCCCAGTAAAGACGAATGGAGATCCAATGAATGAATGAATGAAAGAATGAATGAATGAATGAATAAGCTCTAGTCTTTTAAAATTAAAAGTAGAATATTCACACCTTTGTTAACCTCCACAAATTATTGCAGTAAATATTGTATCGTAAAATGGAGAGAGTGTAAATTCAGCCTGGAAGACCTAACTTCCCTCTCGTTTACCTCAACGTCTCTCCACGGCTTACCTGCTCCTCAGTGTTCATCACCTCACTCCAAATACTCCTCCTCGTCGTCCAAGCAGCAGTGCCCGGTCTGTCCGATTTAAACCCCCATTGCAGGTGACACATGCTTTTATCGTCCCCTTCACTCTCCTCATCCTCGCCTCGACCACCTCCAGTGTCTGAGTCTCTCCAGGTTGAAATGCACGTCATAAAACCTCCTGAGACATTTGTTTATTACTGTATTTTCCACGCTATTCCGCGCTCTTAAGCCTCCAAACCTATCAAAAAAACGACCGCGCGACCCGCAATCCAGAGCGCCCCATACACGAATCCACTCGAGTGTCTCAGCACGACTTCAGTAATCTACAAAGCCGCAAACTCGAAGCGCAGCGAAAAACACCCACAGCCACACTCATCACTCCACGCCGACGAGGAACGGAAGGGAGGAACGAACCGAAAAAGCGAGCGCACTCTTCTAGACACGACTGAACAACTGAGTCACCGCGAACACGGCGACAATCCAGCCGTCCCAGACAGCACCTTCCCTATACACCACGACTGAACAAAGCCCAAAACCACTCACCCATCCAACTGTTGTGTTTCCTTTAAAGTCCCACGTGGTTTATTTGTGAAAAAAGTTCGAAAATAAACCATTCAGTGACCGAGCCCGAGTTTCTGTCCCTGTCCTCACCTTCAGTTTGAGTCGGTCCACGATGTCCTGGATGTCTGAACAGGCCAGCGTCTCCCTGAAGCTCAGCTCTTTGGCAAAGTTGATCTTGTTGTTGAGTTCGTGGAGCTGTTCTAAAAATTCCTGCTCTGTCACCGGACTGTCCAGGATCGTGCTGCGGGAAAAGATAAATACAGTGTTATAGTTAAAGGTCACGTCAAACTCTCTCAGCTTTCCGCCCGTCCCACTGTCCTGCCTCAAAACAAAAGGAGGTCGAGATTTCTCTGCTGTGGCCCCTAAGCTCTAGAATGTCCTCCCTCTTCACCTGAGAACTTTCTCCTGCTTACCTCAAGAGTAAATTCTGCGTAATATAAGACCTTTAACGTGCAGTAGATACAGGTCTGTAGGTGTGCGGTGGGTTGTGTGGCACCTGATCATGGCTCCGGGCACCACCAGCTCGTCCACCAGCTGGCTCAGGTGGCTGCGCACGGCCTGCCTGTTCTTCAGCCTCACGTTCATGCTCACGGACTGCTGCTGGAGGCTCTGGATCTCACTGCTGATGGACGAGAGGTCGCTCTGGAAGCCGCTCAGCATGCCCTCCATCCTCTGCACACAAACGCACCATGTCAAACAAATTAAGGCTGTGCAAAAACACAGAAATATCAATATATTCTATAGTTTAATGTGTTGACACAATATTGATATCGTGGGCTGCTGTTATCGAGTATTTTTTTGGTATATTTTACTAAATAATTTTGCTACAGCGCTAGAGTGTTGTTAGCCAGTTTCACTTCATACAAACTGTCTGACCTCGCAGCATTAGGATTCGTTTGCTCGACGGTAGGCAGGTACTTTTTACCATTTAACCAATCACTGCTGTTTGGTCATGACGTATGTAATGCGCCGTTAACAGGGCTAACTGGTATATTAAGCTTTTCCCAAATCCCGTAGGAAGAAGGACAATAACGTCTTTCCCCTTGATAAAATTCACCAAACATTCTCTTTGTTCCGGCTTTACATCCTCGATCTCGGAAATCGTTGCCAGCACAGAATGTCTGGCTCTTCATTGATTGGCTGGTGCCTGAACTCGCACTTCCGGGGTTTTTGCAAACCGTCTAGTGTATTCTGATTCCTGACCTAGTCGCTGGAGAGAAATGAAATTGAGCGGAGGCACTAGGCGGCGCCAGCCTGACTACAGTTTTGTTGCTTGTTTAGAGTGAGGAAACTCTTTTATGCAACACTTTTATTTGACATTGATTTCCATGACCGTGGGAACCCTGTACCTATAAAAACAGGCATTCTGACTGTGAGCGGGGGCGCCTCTCCACAGATCTAACTTCTAACTTGAATACAGAAAAGGCTTAATGCCGTACTGTGAAACAGTGGCGGAGTTTGCAATTTGGGGACAAACTTGAGTTTGGGGCACCCACTATATTGCAATATAATGCGTTTTTGTTTTGTTCTTGAGACATGCACATCTCTATTTATGTGAATTATGGTGGATTGGAAACTTGTCTTATTAGTTCAGTCGCCTTAGACAACCAGAATGGGAAGCAGTTTTATTTTTTTGCTTGTACAATTACATTTTTGTTTACATTCATTACATATGATTATTATTATTTTAAGAGTATGATGATTATGATTATTATTTAAGAGTAAACTTCTCTCATTTAATGTCATACTGAGAGAAAATTAAATTGCTCTGAGGCCTCGGCCATTAGTGGCACTGAAGGCAATCGGTTGGGGGCCCCTCCAGGTTTGGGGGGCCCCTCAGCAGCCGTGTACTTTTGCCTAATGGTAGCGCCGCCTCTGCTGTGAAACATTCCAGACAAAGCAATATCTCCACCAGAAAAGTTACACAATACACCTTTAATTAACCACAAGAAATCTTCGCCTCATCTGTTAAAGCCCGTGAAAAAAAAGGTGCGTTTCAAGTGCTGATAAAAAAATAAGTAGGTCTAATCTTTAACGGCGACTGATTCCGAAGAAAGCGCTCGGCCGCCACAATGTTCGCGTTTGGCCTTCGGGACGGCGGGGTGCAACAGACAGGGGGCGCTCTACCACTGACGGGGGACGCAATGTCGCACACAAACTCTCCTGAACACTTCACGCTCTATTACACTCAGAAAAGCAAAAGCTGGCAGTACTTATATTATAAATTTATAAAAGCCTCGTATCAAAAAGGTCGTATTATGGGGATTAACCTGCCATTCACGTTCTTTAAATCGGTTCAAATACAGGGTTGGGCGAAATAATAAATTGTGACTAATTTACTGTTCAGATAATTGTATAAACTATTTGAGTAATCTTTCATTGATATTCGGTCAATACAGACTCTTAAACTTACGACAAAAGACAAAATAGAACTAGTATTAAATCTAAAGAAGAGGGAGTATTACACTTCTATGGGTATTAAATTCTAACACAAAACATATTTAGGTCACCATGTTAACTCTAATTGTTTTGAAAATACCCTATTAACCGAGTTTCAGTTTTATTTTTCCACGCTTTTCCAACACTTACTGATAATTTACGCAAACCTTTCAAACTAAAAATAAATATAGGCTACAAATATGAACCTTAGAGCAGTTTTGTGATTTATAAAATGTAAAATGAATAAAATAAACTTCGAACATGAAATAAGGATTAGAAAAACATAAATGTATCCAAAACAAAATAAATATACCCAAAATACAATATCTCAAAATAAACCTTAAGCTTTATCATTTTGACTTTTCGATTATATGAGTTTGGAGATCGTTTGACGCACAAATCAAAATCGTGATCAAAATCCAATTAATTGCACAGCCTTAGCGCTAAGTCACTCCCCCTTCAGAGCGCTATCACATTAAAATCAGTGTGTGCATCCCTCTAATTAAACTACTACACATTGCATCAGGTTTGTGAACTTGTAGTGTGCCATTCTTTTTCACGCTTTAGTATATTTATGTAATTAAATAAATTATGTACCGTATTTTTGGGACTGTAAGTTGCACTTTTTTCATTACCTCCGCCAAGAAGGTTATGTTTTTGCCGGCGTTTGTCTGTTTGTTTGTCTGTTTGTCTGTTAGCAACATAACTCAAAAAGTTATGGACCGATTTTGATGAAATTTTCAGGATTTGTTGGAAATGTGAAAAGGAAGAACTGATTTCATTTTGGGGCTGATCCGGAAGAAATCCTGGATTCTGGATCACTTTGAAATTTTAGTTAACATTGTGGTAAATGGGGCCAAAAATTTAGTTTCTCAATATCTCGGTTAATTATTGACCAAACCCCATGAAATTTGACTCAGGGATGGACAATGGGATCCTCTTTCATATTCCAAATTGAAAGATACGAGACAAATATTTATGGAAAACACAATTAATATGAGGGGGACCGTAGTCCTTGGCGGAGGTCTGCGCTCTCTGACTGCTTTTCTAGTTGTTTGTATGTTTCCTGCGACTTACATATTAAAATATTTCAGTGAAGCGTGGAGAGGCTCTAGTCTTGTGTGTCAGTATCTGCTGCTCCTGTTCCTCCTGTATCACTGTCACTTGCTACAATTCGTGAAATCTGCAGCTGAAAACAGTAATCGAGCAGCAGAAAGAAAGTTTGGAGTGAGTGAGAAACTAGTGAGTGACTGACGAAAAGTGGGGACACAGCTTCATGGTAACCATGTGGATGCACCATGAAACTTTCCTGAAGTCACTGGATGGATGGACAAAGTCTGGACTTCAGTGACACCGAAATGATGCTGTCGGGATTCAGAAAGACCTGAATAATTCTAACTGGAACTGATGCTGAGTCTGACGACAGCGACACAGAAGAGTTTGTGTCGCTCTGTTTACCTTCGGAGGTCGAGGCCGATTTGTTCAGAAGTGACACCGAGGATGAAGAATTGAATGGATTTAGTGATTTGGAGTGAGATGGAGAGTTTGGTTAAACTTGTTCTGTTCTGTTGTTTATGTTATAGTTTATCTGAAGAACTGTTCATATGTGACGTTAACAGTCTGTTCTTCTTTCTTCTCTTGTTTTTACTACAACTTGACTTTAAACAGGAAATGTCAGTTCCTGGTCTCTGATTTTATTAAAAAAACATTTCCCCCAAAAAGTGCAATGTTTCTTTCTTCTTCATTACGCATTTTTTGTCTGGTGCGACTTATACTCTGAAAAATACAGTAGTTAAGTACATTTACTTTTGTGAGGAAGTGTGGGTGACGTAGGCCTGTGGGCGGAGTATTGCACAGAATCTTACAGTTAACCATAAGGAGGCTTCGAATAAGGCCTTGGAGAGATCACGAGATTACTCAAACGTGCATAAAAGACATCGAACACAGTGGTCAGAGGTCAGACCTACCTCGAGGATGGAGTCACATGCCGTGATCTGGTTGTGGAGAGAAGCGATGTTCTGACTCTCTTTAATATCTGAGCATCAGGAGATCAGGAAAAACTTCTAATCATTATTAAACACAGAAAAGGTGTCATTGTTATTTTATCCACTTGTTTTCTCAACGTTTTTCCACACACTGCCTCTTGCCTGGTGTAAAACTATGATAAATATTTACCACAGGTCCCACCAAACCAAATTATTCAATTAGAAATACGTGAAAATCTGTCATAGGCGCTCAAATTGTCTGCAAAGAGCAACACAGACTAAAGCCAAACCTGTAGCAGCAAAAGCATCAGGAGAGTTGAGAATTTGGACACATAAAAACATATCCGCTGCTCTCTGTAATTTATTTTTTATTGGAAAGCACTTTGGTCGCCTTGTGTGTTATAAAAGGCTCTATAAATAAAGACTGATGGATTTTTGAGGCGAAACGATCTTGTGTTTGGCCGATAACAGGTATTTGTTGATACAGGGAATGGATTTTTACAATTCTTAGCAAGGCCCACAAATGTCTAAAATCAATATCTACCAAAATGACAATGCAGTGCTTCCGAATCCTACACGTATAAAAGAGAAAAGAAAAATTCAGTTGGAGAAAGTAAGTACAGAGCTGTGGGCGTTTCCAGGTGGAGGTGAAAACTGGGGAAGACTGGGCCTCTCTCTACAACTTCCAGAGGGTAAATGAGAAAAAAACGACTATAACATTTAACATAACAGGTTTTCTCCAGAGTGAAGAGTCAGAATGAAGGATACAGTCTTTGATGGAGGCCTGCTCGATCCTCTGCAGCTCGGCCTCCACCTGTTTGGAGTACTGCCTCAGATCCACGCCCTGAAACACAGCACACAAACACCGGCAGCTCAACACCACCTCAACACACACGACAACAGCGGAATGCATCCTCTTTTAAAGAAACATAAATGGACAGACTAAAAACCCTCCTGCATTGCTTCTTTTCTATCAAAAATTGGCTTTCTGAAAACTTCTTGCAACTTAATGAGGAAAAAACAGAAACTCTTATTCTGGCAGCAGATGAAAAAAATCCTCAAATTAAGGATCACCTCGGCCCACTGAGCCCCTCAGTCCAAACCAGCGTTAGAAATGTAGGAGTCTGTTGGACAAATCTATGTCTTTGGAGGGGCACTGCAGCCAAGTGTCTACGGAACATCATTAAACTCAGACCAATTTTATCAAATGCTGATCTTGAAATGATTGTTCACTCTTTGATTTCATCTCGTTTAGATTTTTGTAATTCTCTTTTTACTTGTTTTAATGCTTCTATGTTTAAGCGGCTGCAAGGTTTTAAACAGGAGCAAACAGACGAACACACATCACACCAGTTTTATCTTCACTGCACTGGCTCCTGTTAAGTTCTGTGTTGATTTTAAATTCTTGGTTTTAACTTACGGAGCTTTAAATGAACAGGCGCTCCAGTACATCAGTGACTTACTGCGCCCCTACACCTCAGGTCACGCCCTCTGGTCCTCAGGTCAGGGTCTCTTGATGGTCCCAAAGACCCGATTTAAAACTCGGGGTGACGTTTGCTTTCAGACTGTGGCTCCCAAATTACGGAATGCCCTGCCCCGGCCCTACGTGAGGCAGAATCTATAGACTCTTTTAAAAAGCAGCTCAAGACACTGCTCTTTTAGACAGGCTTTTGGTCGACTGTGTCTGTCATTCCTCTGTTCTTGTTTATGTTGTTTTTATGTTGTTTTTTGTTCTGTAAAGCAGTTTGTGATTTTTTTTAATCTGTGAAAGGTGCTATATAAATAAAGATTTACTTACTTACTTACACGTACTCAATACATGCTCAACACCAGCTCAACGCACACTTTACACACACTAAACACACACTAGATATATTTCAATGGAGCCGATGGAGCCAGAAGTGCCCCCATGTACACTTCCTGTTTGGAATGTGGTCCATTTTGTATATACAGTCTATGACATCTTGTGACAAAGGCCAGGAGGTGCTGCTTTAGAGCTGGTCAGCTGGTACTTCATATTAAGCCTGCAAATGTTTTCTTTCTCACACAAATCAATCTGACACTGTGTACTCAAGGCTCTTACCGTTTTAAGCGCCTCTTTCACCAGGTCGTCCTCTAGATTGGCCTGGATATGAACTAGATCACAGAGAAGAAAAACTGATTGATTTATTTCGGTCGCAGGTTTATTCTGACATTATTCACAGACATATTTAACACACACAGACGGAAAAGGTGTTGGCTGAAGCTTGAGCTTATTATGCCTTCACTCTTTATTCCTTTATCAGAGCGTTAACTTGACACAGTTCATCTTCATAAATACAGCAAGAGGAAACAAACAAATCAGTAACAGTACTATAGAACAAACTGTCATATTTCATGGATCTGCTCAGAGTTAAACATTTAAACTTCTTTATAAAATGAAAGAGAGTGGCGCACAATTTTAGGTTTTCTGTACATTTGTTCCAGAGCTCCACCACTTCAACAGATTTACAAAATTTCATAATATTTCTTCTGATTTTCTTTTTGATAAACCGCACCTCTGAGCTCATGTCGGCTATTTTGGATTTTGAACATGTTCTGTACTGATCTTGACAGGAGATTGTTGTTTAATTTGAACATGATTTTCAAAGTGTAAAGGTCGACTAAATCGTAAAATTTCAGAGTTTGAAGGTTTATAAATAACGCATTGGTTGGTTCATTATAAGTTGATGATGTGATGCTCTTACTGTCACAGTTCTGCCTTTTGGTTACATGTTTTCCCCAATCCAGCTGCGTCTCCCGGTCTGTTCCAGTCCTACTCTTCCTCCCTCCCTCCTTTTCTTACAACTGCCTCTCATTCCCTAATCAGCCCAAGTTAGTCTATATGTACTCCTCCTGCTCACTCAGTCTTTGCTAGATTGTTGACCTGTCAAGACACACACTCAAGCCTTCCCTGAAACTTTGTATCTGAACCCTGTTGTTTGCATTTAGTGCAATCCTGATTTATTCCTTGTTGGTGGTACCTGCTTTTGTGTTTATTTCCCAGCCTATTTTCTAAGCAGAGTATTTCCCAGTTTTTGGATGATATTTTCGTTCACGTTTGATAATCATATATTCCTCTGTTGTAGTCTTATTTATTAAATATAATATAAACATATTAAACATTACCTGTCAAAGGACACTTTCTGCTATTAAATTAAGCCTTTGTTTGCCTGCATGCTTATGTTGCAATTGAGTTCAAGTTACCTGCATGATACTTATTCCTTTTCTTTGCAAGGGCAGCATCGCAAAGATGTGTACTATTCAGGCCATGCAATTTCTTTCCATTTAAACACACGATAAAAGACATTTACTGCATGATGACTATTTTAAAATGTCCTATATTACACAAAATTGACTCTTGTGAGCTTTTAGTCATGTTATAACGTTGTTCCTGCTCGAAAAACAGAGCTGGAGTTGTGCTTTGTTTCATTCACACATGTGGGAGTAACCCCTAGTGATGTTATGAAGCGATACTTTTCAATTTAACAGCTTCTACTTTTTTACTTTTTGCTCATAGAGACTGGAAATTTCTAAGCTGAAATCCTCCAAATGATTGTAGTGAAGGTGTACGAGAGCAGGTTGAGAGAAGAACTCGGCCTAAATCTGCAGGGTTTGTGCGTTAAACGTGTGCGAATGAAACAAAACACAACTCCAGGGCTGTTTTTTTGAGGAGGAACAACATTATGACATTAGAAAATAGCGTAATATCGGCCTTTTAAGCACAAGATAACAACAAAATGAAACTTGAAATGAGACTTGTCGTGTCTTACTGTCCACTTCATCCAGGATAAACTCATCCGTGGTGAGGTCCAGTTCTCCCAAATTCAGGTTAGTCACGTCCGCGTCGGCTTTCTGAAACGAAAAAGGACACAAAAGGACAATTGAACGTGATTGCGCAGATGAAAAGTACAGGTTTAGCAGCTTTTATGCAGAATAAGACCGGAAATTTTGTGGTTTGTGGATTGTGGAGGTAATTACAGTACTTCAAAAACATCCGTCCTTGTGCTTTGCTAATTGCATCCATTTTCTAATTGTGATTTCAGTTTGAATAACGGAGCAGCCCTAGATTCTCAAAGATATACTCGTCCTTTTTTTTTTTTTTTTTTTTGCTCACTGTGCACATTACTAGTGGTGGAAGAAGTACTTGATTTTGTTACTTAAAAGTACAGACTCTGAAGGAAAAAACTAAAGTAAAAGTAATTTCCCTTGTGGATCAATAAAGTTTGTCTAAGTCCAAGTATCACAAGAAAAAATCGAATGAAGTAAAAATATTAAAGTACCTGTTTAAAAAAGTACTTCAAGAGTAAAAAGTAAAAGTATTTCATGCAAATTTTGAGATCTAATAAAGCTTCAAATGTAGTGATTTTGATGCAGATTTGTGCTGAATTTGTTCAATAGAAAAGAAAAATTTCCAGCTGTTTTTATTTGTATTTTTGTTTGCTCAAGCTACAAATGTATTAAAAAATAAACCTAAGTCTTTTCAGCAGGTCTCAAACTTTAATAAAAATAAAATGCACCAGGACTTAGACTGTTTTTCTGAGGTGTACAGTCCAGTGAGTTTTCATTTGAGCAAATAGAGAGTTTAAAACGTTGAGCTCCATTCGCTGAGAAGACAGTTTGAGAGAAAGAAGTTTTACACAAAGGAACTCTGCAGTAAAAACATAAATAAGTATGAACTGTAAAACAACTCACCCTTATGTAACAGATAAACCCTCTTGTATAAAGCTGTGAGTTTATATTTCATTACTTATGTTTCTATTTTATTTTGACTTCTACATTTACATTTATTGGACACTTGTCTCTTTGTCTTTTTTGCTACTTATTTAGAATTTATTGTTACGTTTATATTTTCTCTTTGTTATTATATTATATTGTGATGTGTGAGCTCCTGTGTCCAAATGGGAATCAGCTGGAAAGTCCTCCTCAACTGTACCCTATTTACACAGAAATAAAAATCTAAAACATTTTTCATTATATATATTAGGTGTGTAACGAAATCCAAGTCTCACAATACGATATCGTCATGGTATTAGACCTCACGGTACGATATTTATTGCGATATTTTGTGGAGGATAACAAAACTGAATTTGCGACTTTTTCCTCTTAAAATGCCTCGACAAGACTTAATCCAAAGAACTAAGACTTAAAAGTGTTAGAACTGTTATTTTTTCTTGTTGTCTGCACTGAAATGGAGCAAAGGATCATGGTCTATGTAGTTCCCTCTGTCTTTTTTAACTATTGCTGCACCATAACTCTTAATTTAGACGCACATTTGGACATTTACATCGAAAATAATTCTAAGAGAATGACTCTCCAAAAAACGGCTTTATTTCGTTGAAGAAATTATAACAGATTATGCATATTTTGTTATAATAAATATTAAGAAGCCAAATTATTACACTGAAATATTTACCACTGATACGAAGATTAAAACGTCGAATATGTTTATCTGATGTATTTTAAAGATTCAGCAATGGAGACGAGAAGAGAAAGACAAAGAAACAAAGAGGAGAGAAGAGAAAAGCAGGATGGGACGGCAGAAATGTGAATGAACTAAGACTTAAAAGTGTTAGAACTGTTATTTTTTCTTGTCGTCTGCACTGAAATGGAGCAAAGGATCATGGTCTATGTAGTTCTCTCTGTCTTTTTTAAGCTATTGCTGCACCATAACTCTTAATTTAAGCAAAGAGACTTGTAATTCGATAAATTGTGGTGGTCCACGATATTATTGTGAGAACTTTGACGATACAATATGCTGATATTTGGGTTATTGTTACATCCCTAATAGTAATTAATCAAATTGGAGTTATTCAGTACAGTACGTATAATTCAGAAATCCCTTGGTGAGCGACTTGTAAGGGGGTGGAGATCTACTGGTAGCTCCCGAGCTACAGGTTGGAGAACCTGGATATAGACCATGATCCTTTGCTCCATTTTGGTACAAACTACATGAAGAAATAACAGTTCTAAGCACTTTTAAGTTTTAGTTCTTTGAATTAAGTCATGTCAAGGTATTTTAAGAGGAAAAAGTCGCATATTAACAATTTTGTTAGCCTAAACAAAATATCGCAATAAATACTGTACTGTGAGATTTGGATATCGTTACATCACTAATTATTATCATTTATATTTTTTCTCTTTGATTTTATATTATACTGTGACGTGTGAGCTACTGTGTCCAAGTAATTGTTTTTAGATTAGATTAGAAAACTTTATTTATCCCCAAGTGGCAATTCTGTTTGCAATCACAGACTACAACATAAAAAAAACACACACATGCATTTCAATTTCAATATCAGCAATTCAATTCAATTTAATTTCCCTTGTGGATCAATAAAGTTTGTCAGGTTCAACATTTGTGAATTTTTCTCTTAGATATTTCAGGGCAAAGTACAATGTACACAGAAGGAAAAACTGTCTCTTGCCTCCCATCTGGGACTACGACATCATCACTTTCTAAAATCTGAAAACCATCAATACTGTGGCACATTCCTGGTAACCATGACTCTGTGGTGTAAAATTTGTTCTCATGACGGGCCTATGTTACACAGAAATGCATGGAAAAAAACAGTACGATTCCATTAAATCCTTAAAAAATCAAAGTGCCTAATGTGTGATCTTTACAACCTGCTCGGCGTGTTTATAATTTGCCCATTAACGCCTCACCCTGAACTCTGACATTACAATACGAGCTTTACAAAATACACTAACCACAAAGATATGCACCAAAACAAACAAAACCCTCTTGGCAAGCGTCACCGTCAAAACGGAATCATAATGTGAATTAAATTAATAAACAGACATAACTGTTATCTTCTTTTAATCGTTTTCGCTCGTGTCTTTTCACACGACGTGACGCAAATCTGACTCTTGTGCAGCTTTAAGTCCGGTGAGAATGTCATTCAGACCTGGAGTTGTGTTTTGTTTCATTCACACATGTCTGAGTAATCCTGCATCATGAGTCTGCACGAGGCCAAACGCTCTGCTCCACCTTGTGATGTCACAAAGCGGCAGTTTTCAAGTTAACAGCTACATTTTACATTTTGTTTAGCAGAGATTGGAAATTCCAGGGCTTAAATGATCCATCGTGTTTTCGGTTTGAGACAAGAACTCAGCCTAAATCTGCAGAATCCATGTGTCATTCGTTCATTTGTTTTTCAATATAAAATCAAAAATACGAAAATGAAAAAAAAAAAAACTGTTTTCTTCATTATTTGTCTCCAAAACCAAAATGAAAAAACAGATAATGATTCGTTTTTTTCAGTTTTTGATTTCGTGTTTAAATGAAAAATGGAAAAAACAGATAACGGCCGTTTTTTCCCGTTTATGTGACTTCCGTGTCTGCGATGCCGGACTTTTGTACCACATACAGACTGAACTAGGACTGATCCAGGTCCGGGACCAGACCGGGACCAGAGCGGACTCCGAGCTTTGACTCTGAGCCTCAGCTTCGAGCTCCGTACCTGCCGTGGGCTCTGAGCCTCCGTTCTGGTCTCGGTCTTAGTCTCGGTCTTAGTCTCGGTCTTAGTCTCGGTCTTAGTCTCGGTCTTAGTCTCGGTCTTAGTCCGGTCTGGTCTCAGTCTGGTCCCAATCGGGTCTCAGTCTCAGTCTCGTCCCGCTCGCTCTGGTCCCAGTCTTAGTCCCGGTCTTAGTCTCGGTCTTAGTCTCGGTCTTAGTCTCGGTCTTAGTCTCGGTCTTGGTCCTCGATCTTGGCCTCGATCTTGGCCTCGATCTTGGCCTCGATCTTGGCCTCGATCTTGGCCTCGATCTGGTCTGGTCTCGGTCTCAGTCCCGCTCTGGTCTCAGTCTGGTCCCAATCGGGTCTCGGTCTCAGTCTCGTCCCGCTCGCTCTGGTCCCAGTCTTAGTCCGGTCTTCCCGGTCTTAGTCCCGGTCTTAGTCCCGGTCTTAGTCTCGGTCTTAGTCTCGGTCTTAGTCTCGGTCTTAGTCTCGGTCTTAGTCTCGTCTTAGTCTCGGTCTTAGTCCGGTCTGGTCTCAGTCTGGTCCAATCGGGTCTCAGTCTCAGTCTCGTCCCGCTCGCTCTGGTCCCAGTCTTAGTCCGGTCTTAGTCTCGGTCTTAGTCTCGGTCTTAGTCTCGGTCTTGGCCTCGATCTTGGCCTCGATCTTGGCCTCGATCTTGGCCTCGATCTTGGCCTCGATCTTGGTCTGGTCTCGGTCTCAGTCCCGCTCTGGTCTCAGTCTGGTCCCAATCGGGTCTCGGTCTCAGTCTCGTCCCGCTCGCTCTGGTCCCAGTCTTAGTCCCGGTCTTAGTCTCGGTCTTAGTCTCGGTCTTAGTCTCGGTCTTAGTCTCGGTCTTAGTCTCGGTCTTAGTCTCGGTCTTAGTCTCGGTCTTGGCCTCGATCTTGGCCTCGATCTTGGCCTCGATCTTGGCCTCGATCTTGGCCTCGATCTTGGCCTCGATCTTGGCCTCGATCTTGGCCTCGATCTTGGTCTGGTCTCTCCCAATCGGGTCTCGGTCTCAGTCTCGTCCCGCTCGCTCTGGTCCCGGTCTGGTCTCGGTCTCAGTCCCGGTCTGGTCCCAGTCTGGTCCCAGTCTGGTCCCAGTCTGGTCCCGGTCTGGTCCCAGTCTGGTCTCGGTCTCAGTCCCGGTCTGGTCCCAGTCTGGTCCCGGTCTCAGTCCCGGTCTCAGTCCCGGTCTGGTCCCGGACCTGGATCAAGTCCTGGTTCACATCGTGGCCTATGTATCGAGGTATGTATTGTATCGGCAACTTCTTAATGAAACCCAGCCTTAGGAAGCGCCGCTCCGTTTACCTCCGGGGGTCGAGTTGCTCAGAAGTGACACCGAGGATGAAGAACTGAACGTATGCAAATGGTGCATTTAGTATTAAAGAAG